TCGATAGTATTTAGGGCTTGCCCAACCTTTTCAGCAATAATCATGTGTAAGCCGGGGCTTTTCTTTATAATGGTAGCTACTCCCTTGATCGCAATGCCACCTATCCAATTCTGATATTCTTAGTGTGTTACAAAGGGAGATAATTGCTCCTGGACGTCACCTTACCGGCTATGCATCGCCTTATACAGTTGTATTTATTAAAAGAAAGGAACTCGTTAAAATAATCATATCTGTGTTACTACATAAACATTTTTGAATACGATAAGTTTAAATTTATGCAACTTTCTATTTAATGGTGTTTCGAAAATGGTTATTTTAGGGAAATGCTAATATTTTAATATGTTCTCGTACTAATACAACCTAATATTCATTTTTCAGGGTTAAACTATTGGCTCAAGCACAACATGTTGTACCCATTGAAGTATTGTGATGTATACAAATATACTGAGTCAAAAAAGAAACTTCACATTCTTTCTTCAGGGCACTATAAAAGAACAAGAGATGGGAAGATGGTTAAATTGTTATTATTTCATTGCTGAGATCTGTGTGATGTACTCGATACACTGACAGTGCCATTATCAGTTCCATTAGGCTACACCGCCGTTCCAAAACATGGGTATACAGAATGTCAAGTCACAAGAATAAAAATGCGAAATTTCTCAGTTCAATATCGTGTATGGCCGCCCCGCGCATTCACCACTGCCAAACACCGTCTCCTCATCGACTGCCTGATGCTTGTGAACACGTGGTTGGGGATTCTGCGCCATTGCTCTTGCAAGGCAGCGCCAAATTCCTGCAAATTCTGAGGCTGGTTCCTAACACCACGAAGCCTTCTCCCAAGTGCATCCCAAACGTGCTCTATTGGATTAAGGTCAGGGGACCTCGATGGCCAGTCCATGACGTTGATTCCAGCGTTTTGAAGGAAATTTCGTGTCAACATCGCGGTATGCGGCCGAGCATTATCATGCTGGAACTGTAGACCTGGGCCATGAGCCGCCATGAAAGGAACGAGTTCAGGGGTGAGCACCTGGTCGCGGTAAGCAGCAGCTGTGAGCTTTCCACGGATGACCGATTTCGAATGGTCTGTGAGGACAGTCGACCTCTAAACATCTCAGCCCTGGTTCGTGTAGCCGGCAGAAATCTGTCACGTAGGTGACGTAGGACGATTTGACGGTCTTCTGCTCGTGACGTCACACGTGGACGACCCGACCTTGGGCGATCAGAAGTGGTGCCAGTTTGTTGTAGACGACCTCGCAAGTCATACACAGTACGACGGCTGCATCCCATTGCTCTTGCGACGTCAATAACTGATCTTCCCGCTTGCAACATGCCAACGGCACGTTCACGTTGCACATTTGACAATCGTGGCATTTCAGGTACCGTTAGAACTGTGGTTCAAAAGTGTTTTTTCAATTCTTGAGGCCAAAGCAAACACGTGCATATGAAGAAACTTCGATGCAAAGATCACGTGATCGACTGCTCGTGCAAAACCTGAATTGCCACTAACGTCATTTGCACGACGAATGGATGGGTTTGAGTGGGTTTTGCTAACGTTTTTCTAGAGTCGAAAGATAGGAAGCCCATTTCTGATACATAGATGTATCATCAGAGAAAAATTATCCATTATTTTTCAAATTACGTTTTGTGAAGTTTCTTTTTTGACTCAGTATAGTAATGTACTGGACTAGAAGAGGACACTGATAACTAAATATGACTCTATAACTGAATTGTGTGTAGTATAGGAACTTTAAAATGACAGATATAGGACTCGGTTTGTTTACCTACCTATTCCTGAAATCATATGCTACATGTAGCCACGTGCAGATTGCCAAGGTGACGCATTTAGTTTCACATTTATCATATGGCTCTACAAGAAAGACTGATACATATTTCGTTACAAACAACATTACCTCAGGAATACAATCCAAAATCATTAAAGCGTTGATGTGTGCAATATTTAAATAAATACTACAACAGAAGTCTTAAAACAGATAACACGATGAATACAATGGGTTGGAAACAATTACCAGAGAAAGTGCGTGCTTTTGATCGTGAGTGAGTGAGTGATTTGCGCCGCTATAATTAATAGTCAAGTTCTGCCGCAGTGGTCATATCAACAGTCACGTCTTAACCAGTCGGTTACCATGCCCAGAGTGTCACATGCATTGGGTTTGGTAATGATACTAGGTGAGACGAAATAATTGAACTGTGCAAACTTCTGTGGAGTAGGCCAATATACAGCCTCAGAAGAATTCCAGCCAACAAACCTGATCTTGTCCTTTTTGATAAAGCCAAGGAACTTATTTATATCATTGAAGTTCCTGTCCCTTTTGACAGCAATGCGATTGACAAGATTCAGGAAGAGCATGATAAACATGCGGACCTCGCCTTTGAAATGTTTCGCTTGCATCCCAAGTACACTGTCGTCAGGCTCCCCATTGTTCTCGGTGCCCTTGGTTTGGTACCTCCTGATCTCTTGGCGCAGATCAGGAGAGTGCCCGGGTTCTTCATCGGGAGTACAGCCCTTCTGACACTCTGGGTAATGCAGAAGGCTGCAGTGTTGGGGAGCCTTCATCTTCTCCGGAAAGTTCGACTAGTTGGTGGGTTCGACTAGGCAGTGTTTCCTGGGAGAAGTCCATTCGCATTCTGGGCTGCGTGTAGAGGGGGCAGGGCCCTGAGCTAATGATGATCCTTACCAGCCTGACTGTGCCAGGATCACCCGAACCCTCTCTGTTGCATTTTCATCTTTAATCTGAAAAAAACATAACAATAATGTTCGCGCCTAGAATCCAACGCAATGCTGCTCACTGGTGTTACATTATTACCTGCTACTAAGCGCTAATTCGCGCGACCGTATAGGTCCGTGCATCCGCTTCTCAGGTACCCACTTTGAACAGCTGGGTGGACTGAGTGCAATGTGGACGAAGTGCCTTTCCCAGGGACACAACACAGTATGAGACCCAGGTCACAAATTTTGGTGTCTCAAACGGAGATTCGAACCCGAGCCGTTGGCATGAGAGGCCAGCATGCTAACCACAAAGTACATAATATATACTAACACATCTAGATAAATAATTCTGTGATACACCGTGATCTCTCTGTCCCTTCACTCAGCAATAAGCCCGATGTCCCTGCCAGAGATTGTGTCAGGTTAGCATGGTTGTACTTAGAATATGCATTACTAGACTCAAGACCTATCCTTGAAGGAATTATTGCTTTGTGATTATTGTGTTAATCTTCAAGTTCCAGAATGTTATGTGGAAGTAATTTCATACAGCTAGATTCGGTAGTCCACATATTCGTATCTCATGTCAGTGGCAGCATGTGGGGTTTATCCACAATAAGTATAAGCTAAAGTTGTCTACCTTTAATGTTAACCTAAAAATGGTTAATCTTTCCAGATGTCCCCGGATTGGACAAGCTGGCTGTAAGACATTGTTTCGAGGCCTCCTCGACTTCCATCTAATGTCGCTTGCTAATTGCAGTTTTGATATTTGTTTTGTAAACAGTATGTTTCTTTTATGGCCATTTTAGCCAAATCACTTACATCAACCGTAATGTCATCAAGATGGCAGATTACGATGTCTGTATTATAATTTGTGTGGAAGGCTTATGTGAACCATGGCCTTGGAAAATACTGAATTGTGATGTTTCAAATGACAATAACAATCCCTGATTGAATTAATTCATTTTAGTCTGTGTGATCAGTTGCAGATTCTATTTAGCTGAAGTAAATTGTTAGCTAACACAGCTCGACGATAAAACACACCATATATTTATCGATTGAGCAATGTCACACTCTGAATCTATGGCGGCATTCTATAACCATTCGGTTGTCATGCCGGAGACCCGGGTTGGATTCTCCACACGGGTACACTGTGTGAAGCCCATTTCTGGTGTCCCCCGCGGTGATGATGCTGGAATATTGCTAAAAGCGGTGTAAATCTCAACTCTCTCACTCTGTCATAAATAGTTGCTTGTGTTTCACTGTCCGCCTCTTCACAGTTCAATATCTAACACAGGTACAATGTTCACTCACTCATAACACATATTTGTGATACATGTATGTTGTTTTGTTTCCAAGCAATCAGCGAATGGTATAACCGTTACCGGGAATTCATGAATGTGAGCCGTACTACTAGTATGGTGTACTTGTTAAACTTTGTTTTCGTTTGTTTGTCGTTTAACACCGCATTCAGCAATATTCCAGCTGTACATGGCGGCGGTCTGTAAATAATCGAGTCTGGACCAGACAATCCAGCGTTCAGCATCTATGTACGCTATTGGGGTACGATGACATGTGTCAACCAAGTCAGCGAGCCTGACCACCCGATCCCGTTAATCGCTTCCTATGACAAACATGGGTTGCTGAAGACCAGTTCTAACCCGGATCTTCACGGGTACGTGAGTGAGTATGGTTTTTGCAGCTGTTGTAAGTCCCTAGGGAGGTTACACATTTTGGTGAACGTTGATTGGCTGTTTCAGAAAATAAACAGCCAATCACACGCGTAGGGATATGGGGAATCCCCGCATCGCGGGTTTCCTCATAGAGAAACTGATGTTTTTAGATCGAAAACTGACATGTGTAATAAAAATAAAGGCTCGAGAATTACCTAATCAATATAACTCGGGAACGATTATCTGTCATTCCCCGTCACTCGTTAGTTATCGTCAAAATCATATTAAAAGCCAAAAAACCCACAGTCCATGAAATCTTCAATACATTAAACTTGTCAATATGTATAAAAAATCTAACTTACAAGGAGTGAATTTGTAGTTAACTTTTGTATGATGTAGCATTTCTATTCTATACTCAATACATACCAAGACCTATAACCAACACCATAGCAGCTACAACATAGAACGGAGCCATGGCTCTAACTCAACTATCTACTCCTTCAGTGCTCTCGGGGTTTGTTTACACGCCCTACCAACGTATGCGTGGACCGCGAGTCAATGACGCTTGACTGATATCTTCCTCGTGTAAAGTAGAACGCCTTTATGGTTACAGTACTGGTATGCCGTAGTGAGTAACACAACAGATTTCAGGTAATGGACAGACAACCCACAGACTGACTACATTTATCTGATCAAGCGTATGCGATCTAACTTGGGATATTGATCACTCCTCGCTGGAGCGAAATGGACAGGTGTGATGGCGACACCGTGTGAAGATATAGCTGTATAGAGTACACCATGTATACCGCGTTATATCGAAGGAAACCAGGACAATCGTCCGTCGCAAGTAACATTCTCCTAAACCCCACAATCAATGCAAGGTAAGATAGGATTCTTATTCTCATCGATCTCATTTCCTTCCATATTTTTAACACAGTGCCCAAGACACAACCCGCAGAACGTTGTTGACAAAGCCAGAGATTATCCATCCATTCGAAGTGCATTCTAGATTGTAACTAGTCACCACTCGCATGAAATAATAACACATGTCTCACGTACATGTCATCGTTTTTGTTGTATATGCCTTCATATTGTGAATTTACACGTGACTATTTCCATCTTAGCAGAACGTGGTTGTTTACAAGAGAGCTCCCTGTTGCCATAGCAGCACATACACACGCGCCTTACAACACTATGTCGTTCATTCAATATTATCGACCTCGGGGACGGTATTCCATTCAGCCAACCCGCTGTCAGTTCAACTACCTCAACACATATACCTTCGTTCCGGGTGATTGATGGTTATTTGTCCGTCAAATCTATGTTCGGTTCGCGGGGTTATAAACTTGCCCATTAGGCGCCTGTAGACTATGTCATTGAACAAAGCATGACGGAGAGTGTCACCAATGGGTTGTGGTAACAGTGCTCAGACACACCCCGGGCAACTGAGTCTCGGGCATGAGGAAGTAAAACAACCTGTGAGCGGGTAGGTGAAATGATGGGCCCAAATGGTATAACAAGTGCTACATTTTTCACAAGAACTCTGTATCGGGATGTACATTTTGATATTCGTATCCTTTGTGTGTGTGTGTGTGTGTGTGTGTGTGTGTGTGTGTGTGTGTGTGTGTTGTGTGTGTTTGTGTGTCTGTCCGTTGTCTGTCTGTGACTGTGTGTACGTGAGCGCGTGTGTGTGCGTGTGTGCCTGCGTGTGTATGTGTCTGCGTGTCCGTGCCAAAGGTTGAGGGCACTTGACGATCAGGTTTGTCAATATACATGCTTACTGAACTGACGCACCAAATAAACAGGACAGAATTTATGTTAAAAATAATCAAAACGGACATAATTAAAGCCTGCCTAGCATGTGTGACTGCCGTTATTATTACCACTCTCTTTTAAACCCAGTATATATAGAGGTACCCAACTTCTAGATATTATGGGGAACATTTTTACATCAGTAATTAATTACTCTTTGGTCCAAAAGTGCATATCGGAATCATTGTTTGGATTAAGACAGGGTAACGTTGCTGTTCTTCAATCACTATCACATAAATATTTAAGGAAGTAAAGTTTACTGTTTGCTTGTTGATTTCAATAAGGAAGGTCAATGCATATGAACACCTAGTTTTGACTATCCTCAGAAACAACTTCGATTGGTGTAAAGCGAAAAATGACTGTATAAAGTAGCATAGGAAAGCTTTGGATACGGTTGAAATGAAATAAATACTGCATTTACTCTTGACACAATGCATCCATATATTAAAATTTATTTAATACACTAGAATGTTTGTATCGCAACGTTCAAGCCTTATTTGACACTGTGTTAGATAAGGATGTATGCTCTCACCATTACTGTTACTGAACTGAACTGAACTTTATTCACACTCAGGACGCGCTCTGTGGCACATGTTTGCATCATTATGTACAACGTATGTATGTTATATACACGTATTATACACAATATCATCACAGAATAAACTCTGTCTGAACATGCATTTAACCATTTTAATTAACAATCTTACACTCATGAGTTATTTTTTATCTTTTTGGGCGTTGGTTAAAATGAGACACATGCTAATTTCCTAATTGTTCCTAGTTTATTAGAGTGAAAAGGCTGGTTCATATTGTGCATATTCGGGTTTCTACAGCAAAAGTTGTAGATATATTTTTGAAGTAACTGTTATGAATTGTGATGACATGTTATCACTATTACTTGTGATGTTGATGAAATATTTTGGTTCTAATTTGGAGAAGATGTGTGAATGCTCAGTCTGTTATGAACCTGCAAAACCAAATAACTATATAATTTCGAAATATGCTGTTATAAATGGGACAAACAGCAAACATTAATAAGAGTAAATGTATGGAATTTTGAAATAGAAGACCTCTATCACAACGTGGAAAATAGTTTATCAATAGTGAACATATTGAAGTGGTATCATGCTATAGAAATCATGGTATTTTAATAACTCTAATAATTAAAGCACTGTTGTTTCAAGCTGTGAAGATATGATGAAATAGTTATTAAACATTTGGTTTCATTTGGAAGGTATACGTTGTTTACTGATGGCTTTAGTAAAAGTCGTCCAGTTGTATATTTAATTCACAAGGGCTAAAAATAATACGGCACCTAAAATCCTTACTACAGCCTGAAAAATATCAATCATATCGATTAAGACTACATTTAAGAAGACTTCTGAACAATTTCAGTGTTATTCGAATGATTTATGATAAATCCATAAATATACAATGTGATCATGACAGTCGATGCAATTTTAGAGATACTAAATTCTCTAAACATCCATAACAAATCTCGATTCTAAAAGTACGACATTGTAATAAATATGCGTCTATGAATCACTGTGACGGCACAAGATGTTCGACGAATTAGATCATGGATTGTTTGTTTACACTATATAGACAAATAGATAGATACATATATCGATAGATAGATATATATATAGACATATAAAGATATACACAGATATATATCCAGCTTATACTAACTTATAATCAAGATATGTGGCCTTGTATTATTACGAAAATCCTACGATGCATGAGGTTGTACCGATAGAAATGACCACACCATTTTATAACAGCAAGCTCCAAAACGACAAAACAACGTCAAGCAATTCCAGACCAGTATATCCTGAAGCACTGTGTCACAATGTACTCAACATTACCCAATCATCTGTACCACTGGCCTCATGGGCAGACTATACGATTAAATTCTGGTCTGTTCAATGCTTCGAATATATTTCTTCAAAGCACGATGACGTTACGGTGAGAATGTTGAACTGACGTTTTATTTCCCACATGAATTTCTGTCCCAATATGTTTACAAAGTACCTAATCTGCTTATTGCAGTTTGTGTATCTGTAAACGAAGCTATTAATGTGTGAATGGAAACAAACAACATTGTCACTGATCAATGAAATTCGCCATTAAACATGCTGTATTCATCAGATTCGATTCAAAACGTCAAAACATGGAATGGTTTCTATTATCTGAAGAACAAGTTCCAGTATGCTCGAAAGTAAAAATATAGATGAAAATTATGAGAATAGATCGCTGAAAATTGCAGTGACACAAATTGTTCCAGAAAGGGTTAGCATGTCTGCCCTCAACAGTTGTACCTGTCACTCACCCAAGTTTCATACAAAGTACGTGTTTGTTGCTTAGCGTCGCGCCCAGCGATACTCCAGCCATGCAATGACAGCGTGTAAACAATCGGGTCGGGTCCAGCCAATCATTGTCAAGAATCATGAGCAAACATCGATGTTGGTGGGGTAGAATTCCACACTGATCCATTAAGATCCATTAAGTTAAGTGTATTTAAATAATGATGGTAAAACGCTCTATATGTTAAGGTCGTGATATATCTGAAATACTGTAATGGTTCAGAACGATGTTATACTCACTTACACTCTTATCACTCACTCGCCCACTCACTCACTCACTCCATATTTCACTGGAGAAACATCCATGAGATCATCAGTGTATATTTTGTCATTCCAGAGTTGATCTTGATCCAAATACTAATAGGAAGGAAACTTCTACAAGCGAAACAGGAACTAAGTTGGATAATGTCTCTGGGAAGCCTGCCGTGGAAACGACTGAAGATGCGGTCAAAACTCGACCAACCATTACCAGAAAGAAAACTGAGTTAAAGTCACGGCGTCAAGACGGCCGACATGCAGGGAGACCTGGAACGAGTCATCGACACAGAGATCACCCAAAGCATCACGGGAAGAAATCAGATACAGATGAGGTCATCCGTGGTAATGTGACAGTGGAATGTCCGTCTACAGCCAAAATTGTCCGGATCTTCACAAGCAGCACATTCACAGGTACCGTTCTGCTTTTCAACTCTGACAATATATTATAATTGTTTATTAAAGGATATTTATGTAGCGCACATATCCAAGCAGCTAGTGCACGCACAAGGAGCTGAGTACCACGTATGACAATATCAAGGACGACATACATGACATTCCTTCAAAATGATAAGTTATTTCGATTTTATACATCACCGAAGTAATAAGACATTGCGAGAACAGACTTAAAATCCAGAATTTAAAGAAGGTAATTACGAGGTATTTATGCAGTACATTTGTAATTCATGAGAATCACGTTTTCTGCGACGATATGCATTTTTACTGCATGTGCATTATGGTAGATGTGGTTGTTGTATCCAATATAATGCATGTACTTTGAATTAATGCATAAATCTTTTTCGAAAATTGCTTAGGGAACTGTCAATTCGTTACTGATAGTCCACAGTTGACACAATTTCAGACCAACTTATTTCACTTTGTACAATTCGACTCCACTTTCTTATGGATATCGAAAGGTTTTTGTCACTTATATTTACCATTATTGCTAGTATTACATGTAAGAGTAAGGCGTGTTCTCACTAACGCCGCTGTATATCTCTTGTTGTACAGACACATGGCACGAGAGGAACGCCCTGATGGAGAGGGCGTACCCCGCACTGAAGGAGGTGTGTCAGCAACAGGGATACGAGTTCCAGGTGGTGGACATGAGATGGGGCATCAGAGATGAGGCCACGGACGACCACATGGGGACAGAACTCTGTCTGAGGGAAATTGATCTCTGCAAGAAGTTGTCAACCGGACCTAGTTTTGTAGTAAGTGTTGAAGATTCTGTTGGTCGATTTTGCATCATATGCCGATTACGTATTCTTTAAACACAATCAGATTCAGTTAATTTTCGGGGAAATATTTAGTGTGCTTATCTTTTACCTCCATAAGTGAGGGAGTGAACAGTTTATCTTCGGAATTGTTGTAATTTTGCGTCAGTGAGAAGCAATAATGGCCAGTCTTCCGTGCAGATGATTATACCTTATCAGTATTTATTACATATTATTGCTTATATTTCCTTTTCCAGACATTTCTAAGTCACAAATATGGTTACCGTGACTTCCCAAATAAAGTTGAGGCAACTGAATTTGACACCCTGATTGCTGCAGTGGAAGGGGAAAAAGCACTGGTGCTCCTTAAAACGTATGTACATGCCAGTTACTGGTATAGGACTTTCGCCAAAAAAACATGGGTGTGAGCTGAAATAGCACTCAACCTCACTTATATCGGGATGTGCATGTGTGCCTCTCTGTCTGTGTCTATGTGTGTGTGTGTCTGTGTCTGTGTGTGGCTGCTTATACTGCTTGATTAGTACCAGTGTATTAGCACTAGCCTTTAGATACAATGTCACCGTTTAAAATGAAAATGGCACCCATATAAAGAGTACAATTGCTTGCTTTATCTTATCCCCTAAAAGCTGAACAGCAGGAAGGGTATAACAAGAAAAAGTATATTTTAACGAAAGGCAGAGCACCAATATATGTGCAATATAATGGAAGATGTCCTATCTTTGTTTAACATCAGCTGGTTCAAGAGAGATGACAATGCCGTACCACCGACCTATTTTCTTCAACCAATCAGCTCCATTCTACCAGACTTTCGAGATGAGAATGAAGAAAAACAGAAGTCCGCGAAAGCAGCTTGGTACGATCAGAATACAATCATGCAGAAAGCCCTTGTGAAAGCAGCCAATGAGAAACTTGATACAAAGACAGCTCACCGTTACGTCACGTCCGGTATGCAACACTGACTTGTACTCTTTGTGTTGTGATCATTTTCCACTGGAAACAACCCTTATGCCTTCGGTTCAAACTGAAATTGGCCTTGTATCGTTTACAGTGACCGAGGCTGAAATCACACGAGGAATAGAGGAGTCTGAAGATAGGTCGTCCAGCTGTTTGTGGTTTCACCGAACCATTGATGCCATTGACAAACAGGAACCAAGTTACATCCTGAGCAGATACAAGGGTAGAATGTTGTTGGCAAACTGTCAATTGTTACCTGTCATAATATTCTGTTGCTTTTCAATACATTGTTTGCTACAAAAAGATGAGAATCACTTATATAGTATTTCCAAGTGTTAAATATCACACGAAACCATTCTTTATAATACTCTCAAACGCAGGTATATACCATGGTGCACTTAGGAAGATGTTAGGGTATTGTTATTACGAAGGTTACAAAAGGGACATCACAAGAACATATAAAGAATCATGATGATTACAGAATGCACTGGACCTGAGGAGAGACTCCGGGAATCTTACGATCTCTTGGTAGATCTGCGAGACAGAAGACTCCCCAGTCTGTTGCGTTCTGAAAACCACAAAACATATAACATCGAATGGACAGACAATGGTGAGTACATTATTTTGTTCAGATATTTTGTATTTTGAATCAGAAAACGTATTGCGGAAAGACAATTTAGACATACAAGAGTTTGTAATTCTGTTTGGGTTTTTTTCGTCAAAAGGAGTTGACCCCACAAAGAGTAAAAGACACGAGGCCTATATCCAACAGCTGTGTCAGGATTTCACGGAGGAGATTTCACAGAAGGTGATGCAGGCCATTGAGGACAGGAAGAGAACCGACCTGGCCAAACCTTTGTATGCAGAGATTGTGGAACACACAGTCTTCTGTCAGTCTAAATGCAAAGCCTTCCATGGACGACAGGAGACGCTAGACGTATGTTTGTTGCTTTGATTGCGTAAAATTCCTTTTGAAAACAGCCATATACAAGTTTACAGTAGAGCTTTCATATGGTAGACATAGTGAGAACATTTGTAAATGTGAAGCATCAGCTGACACCAAGACATGTCTCTATTTGAACTTGTGAAATGTTCCCGAGTTTATAAACAAACAATTGACTTGCTTTTGTCTGAGTATGTGATGAATGCCACAAATAACTGTGGAAATCAATCATCTTCCCGCGAACACCTGCCACCATCACTACCTCATATCAATCAATCAATCAAGTGGGGATCGTATAATCTACTCGGCAGATACTTTGTATGGATATGGAAAGGGTTTTGTTAGAGGCAGCAAGAATAACATTGGCGTTACTCTTCAATACACAACTTGTCAGAACTGTATAATAATGAAATGATTCCTCATTTGGGTTTATACTCTGGCGTCTATTTATATGTGTAAATCAGTACTACACCTGCCTTTTATTCCAGCTCGTAACGAAATACCTCCAAGGAACGTCCAGAACTCCTTTCATTGTACACGGACCCTCAGGGTGTGGGAAGACATCTATCGTTGCCATGGCAGCTACTTTAGCACAACAAAGCTTTAGCAGCAAGACTGGGGTGGTTATAAGGTAAAAGGGATACTTTAGCAAAGGTTAAATAAGACAACGTTTGGAACTGGCATTATTCCTGTCTTTTTAGAAATTAACCACAAGTGGTGTTTTTTCTCTAAATTGTCATCAAGGACGTGTTTTCTCAAATATGTGAGAAAAATATTTGCTATTACTTTGCAAATATCAGGTTTTTCTGGACACATTAAGTTAATTCCCATCATAAGAAATGAAACAAAACTTAAGAAGAAAGTAATTAAATGTGCAAGTAACAAAGCAGAAATTATAGGCACTTGGTTAGGATTCCAGGGTTCCAAGTAAACCAAGGTACAACATTTGCGACTAAGTAAACTTGGCTGCTGCCTTGTGGTTTCTGCAATGATTATTGTGCCCTTATACAAATGCAGCATTGTTAATGAATATACTGTACAGAGGGTGGACATCACCACTGATTCCAACTCTTCAGGTTCATTGGAACTACTCCGGACAGTTCAACCATTGGTGCCTTGTTGTCCAGTGTGACGTCACAGATTTGCAGGATTTATGGAGAAGAGATAGAAGATGAACTTCCTGCTGTAAGGACCGGTGTCTGCTACCCTTTGTTTTGTCAGATCTTCCTCTCTTCTTCACTGCACAGCCATTACTCATGTAACGCTGATTGGATTCCATACTATTTAATGAAAAGGCTAATCGCTTGCAAATCTGTTTGATTCAATTAACGTTTCCTCCAATTCTAGTGTTTTCTTTTACACAGTCACCCATGGTATTTCCTCACTGTTTCTAAGTTAAAGTTTATTATGAACATATTTCTTAAACTTAGATCATTTTCAAAATATATTTGTATAAAAGGAGTATGACTCCCTTGAGTAGTTAAGGATTTGTCACTATTTCTCAGTGTGGTCTGTTTGGTTTCTTCAAAGAATTCTTCTTTGTTTGGCTTAGATTTTGTTACTACTTCATGATGTCATGGAGTGCTAAACAAGTGACTCTTTTCCATCTTTAATATACGTCTCTTTGTCACAGTAAAGTCTCGTGGGTGAAGACATGTTTCTTCCTCATGTAATAGCCCAGTGGGTTGACAGTTATCTCCACTTCAGAGTATAGTCCTGCTTTTCATAGTATTTTCTTTTCAAGTAAGTCTAAAATAGGGAAACAAAGTACTCTAGAAATTGATGGATTCTTATTTTCACAAAGAGACAGATTTCATTGGCAAACAACAATAATCCATCAAACATTGAAAGACATAATGCACGTTTCTCAATATTCAGCCTTCGACTAATATTATGCTCTTTTATGTCCAAGGATACAAAGGAACTGACCAAAATATTCCACGAGACTCTGAATTTGGCCACCAGTGATGAGCCTTTGGTCCTCCTGCTGGACTCACTTGATCAGTTTGACCCAGCAGGGGGCGCTCGCCAACTCTTCTGGCTACCGAAACAACTCCCCGACAATGTGAAGATGATCTTGTCAACGTTACCAGAACCTCAGTATGAGAGCTTTCCTCGTTTACAGGTAAATGGAAGGAAATTAGATAGACACTGCCTCAGTTATTGAGTCAAAATCAACAATAAACACCTAATTTAAGATATTTACATGCATTGTACATGCTGCATTCTACATATTCTTTTTCAGGAAATGTATTCTGAAAGGGACAATTTCCTTAAAGTGCCAAAGCTCGCAGACAAAGACGTTGAGGGCATTCTTACCAAATGGTTGGATGTGGGTCGTCGTGATCTGACGGAACAACAGAGACAAACCGTCCTTGGGGCTTTCCAGAAGTGTCCACTTCCTTTGTTCCTGAAACTGTCATTTGATGAGGCATGTCGATGGTCATCCTTTGCACCCCAGTCAGAGACAACTCTCCAAACATCCATTCGTGGAAGTATCAACGCCCTGTTTTCAAGGGTTGAAGCACTTCATGGAAAAATCTTTGTGTCAAGAGCTTTAGCATATCTAACGTTGAGTAAGTATTAGTACGTGCATGTCAACTGGCAAATTTCAATTTCTTGTGCTACTTTGTGTTGCTGGGTACAAGGATACGCTGATCGTGGGTTAAGATAGCAGGTTCGACCTCATTTTGAATATCGGTGTGTGAGCACCAAACCAAACCTGTTTATTTCCAAGTAGTAGTAAATTTCTACCAACAATGTTACCTGCGACTTTTCCCAGATCATAAAGATGTCAAAATGCGGTAGCTCATTTGCAAATCAAAAGTACACTTTGACTGTAGATATATTTTGAAAAGGATTAACATATATATGGCCTAAAGGCGTATGTCAGCAGTTAGAAACCCTTGATTAAATGAACATTAGTTTTGGGAGTAAATAATATACATCATCAAATATACAATAATAAGATTTTCGATTGAATGGGTGAGTGACGATTTCTTCTTCAGGTAAAACGGTTTGACGGAGAGTGAGCTGGAGGACATCCTGTCATGTGACGATGATGTCCTCAATGACGTGTACATGTATTGGACTCCACCTGTCAGGCGACTTCCGCCTCTACTCCTGGTCAGGCTGAAGGCAGACCTTGGTCAGTATTTGGTGGACAGAGGAGCTGATGGAGTGAGGGTCTTCTTCTGGTATCACAGACAGTTCATTGAGGCTGCTACAGACAAATATTGCTCTGATCCTCAATTCAACCAACAAATGCATGGAACTCTGGCTGATTTTTTTGCTGGAACCTGGGCAAACGGTGAGTAACAGGGTGGAAGGGAAACAACCTTGATCATTTCTTCAGTCTTCTACTTAATGCTGATATGGAAAATTATTAAACTCCTAAATCACATGGTTATGAATATGCTCATTGAATTCTGATACATGTCTGTTTCCATTTATACCTTTCTTTTTTGGCGAACCAATTTTATCACCACTGACTGTTGCTTTCATGTAATTTTCACTACCGTTTATACCTTTACGCCCAATGAGATCTGTTAAGGCAGACATTTGAGACATCATTACCTGGACGTTGTATATTTATGGTGGTCATGTTAAACTTCAGGTAAAGCTAAACCATACGTAGACAAGAAGGGTAACAAAGAAACTGCTGACCGTAAGCCAGCATCACAGCCAGACAAATTCAAGACAGGTTATAACTTGAGAAAACTGAACAACCTTCCTTACCAGCGGACAGAGGCCAAGCAGTTGGGTCTCCTGAAGGAGGAGTGTTTGATGAACTTTGCTTTCCTTCTGTCAAAACTACATGCATCAGGTTTAAGGTAAACTGCATCAAAGGCAACATGAAATCGGGTTTGTCGGTCCTGTGAGATTATTACAGAAACATGGTAGCATGCATGTGTTGGGCAATTTGTTATAGTCTGGACTTGTGAAACTTTTGATACATTTGTACCAAAACACTGAGTGTTGTCCACTGAGCCATAAGTCCACAGTTTATTATGATACCCTATTCAAACACATTAATCTTACTCCCAGCCAACCAGTCTTGGTAATATCCTTTTTAATCCAAACTGCCTGTCATGGTTTTTTTTGTGTGTTTTTTAATGCTTTCCCTCAGCAGTATGCTAATCATGGGTTGCTGAAGACAACCACTTCTTTTAGGTTAGACAAGGCAAAGGGGTAGCAACTGTATTGATGGCTCAATGGTACACTCAGACACTGAACCATGTACCCATCTGCCTATATAAAACAAAGTGAGTATTATTTTAAAATCCTGTTATTGCATGTATTGAATCCAGGCCTATCCTAGAGGACTTTATCGCTGCCAGAAATGTGTACCCAGATGACCAAGAACTAAAGATTGTTGGAGAGAGTCTTCAGTTGTCCCAAGATGCTCTGGTATCCTATCCCAACGAGCTTCCATCTCAGCTGCTGGGAAGGATCAAAGTATGGGATGGCCTGGAGAATCTCCGAGATGGTTGTAAGACGGCACCAGGGTACTTCCTTCAGCCTGACAGATCAGTCCTAACCGAACCCGGTGGACAGCTGGTGAACTGTCTTGCCGGACACAAAAAGACGTGTATGGAATTGATATGACCAATGACTCCAATTTTGTTGTAACATGTAAGTCCTTTTAGTAACCTTGTCATTGAATGTCAAGTAACGCGACAGCATCAACGATTGTATTTGTAGTTATTCTTTATTTCGGTTGCTCTCAGTTGTTTAAACGGGTTAGAAGTGATCTATAGCAAACCATGATTGTCGCAAAGAGACGACTAACGGGATCAGATGGTGAGACTCATTGCCTTGATTAAAACATGTCATCGTATCCTAATTGCGCAGATCAATAATGCTCATACTGTTGTCTCACCTAGACTCGATTACATACAGACCACCGCCACAAAGCTTGAATATTGCCGAGTACATCATTAAAGAACCAACGAAAGAAACTCAATTTTTGTCAATGATGGATTGTACATCTTGTATTCCCAGGTGCTTATGACAGGTCTGTGAAAGTCTGGGATGTTGGCAGTGGAAAATTGGTTCGGTCAATGGATGATGTTGGGGAAGATCCGGAGAAAGTTGTACTATGCTGTGATGACTCTGTAATAATTGTTCATCCAGATGAACACATACTTGGTTATGATTTCAAAACTGGCACCCCACTGTACAATATACACTTAGAAGATGGAAACCGTCTGTTTTGTGTTGGAGGAAAGAGCAACAGCATCCTTGGAACCTTCCATGAAAAGTCAGTGTCACTTTATGCAGCTGACACAGGCACTCTACAAAAGACGGTTGTGTGTACTCTCCTTGGAAGAAAACAGGAATTTGGTTTCAGTTCCCAATGTGCTGGTAGGTAGCTACAGGTTGAAATATTCACTGGATAGTGAATCGGTACATCTCCAATAATGGAAGCACACAAAAATACAAATCCATGTAATGTCAACGGACATTAAGTCAAAAGTTCTCAAATCAGGAGAGATTCTCTCTGAGTGTTTATTGATTAAGGAGGCTTCTATTTCTGTTCTAACCCAGGGAGTCTGCGATACATGGCAGTAGCTGATGATGACCAGCACTCGATATTCGTTCTTGATCTCGAAACGTCACAATTCATTCAAAAGAAAAAGATCTTCGAGAAGTTCAAAGATAAAGATGGTGATGAAGACCAGTACACAATTGACGCTCTTGCCCTTTCCCTCAGCGGTCACCGACTCTACCTGTCCGAGATGTATAAAAACGACCTTCAGGTATACAACACAAGAACATTGGAGCAGGAATGTGTCTACCCAGGTTAGTCCATTTAGTATGTAAAGTGTGAGGTCATCATATTGAAGGTGATGCTAACATATTGACAGTGGCGTTAAAACTACAGTGTATACATCTACTTAAATGAAGCAAGGTGGGAAGAAACCATCAACCACTAGATGTAACAAGGTGGAAAACTGAAGTGTCATGAATACAGGATACAACAGCGTGTGAATACAGGATACAATAGTGCGCAATCAAAGTGAATGGCTCAAGTTTTAAAGGGAAAGCTACACTTGTAGTGTACATACTTCTACATCTGTGCTCCGTAACCTGCTCTTTATGTCGATCGTTTTTTCTTATACTTTTACAGGTAATGAAAAAGACTCCTCTGAGAAGTTCAAGATTACAAGAGATGGGAAAACCCTGTACTTCCCCAGCAATCACCATGTTGTTTTATGGGACTTAGAAACTGGATCTAGATCAACAGTTATTGAACAAGGACAAGGTATGGTTTCCTCTGTGTTAACACGCCTTTTACTTATAACAAATGCTCAGAACAAATTCGTTACATTTAAATACCGTTTTATATGTTTGGAGATTGTAATTGTTTGAGCTGTTGCAATATATTCAACCCGTGATTTTATCGACTTCAGCGTAAAAAACACAATGATAACGTGGCTCATGTGTAGACACCACAAAGTGTCTGCTTTCTTCTTATAAGATTCGTACCAAGTTCCCTTTTGGAAGTGTCACCTTTATTATTGTTTGAAAATAATGTGAATTAAACTACGAGTGAGTGAGTTGGGTTTTACGTCGCTTTTAGCAATATTCCAGCAATATCACGACGGGGGACACCAGAAATGGGCTTCACAGATCCCTGATAGCAATGTTCGTTCGATAGCAATGTTGGACCAACATTGGCCCAACGGACATTGCTATCTGGGATTGTGCCCATGTGGGGAATCGAATCCGGGTCTTAGGCGTGACGAGCCAACGTTTAAACCATTAGGCTACCCCACCGCCCCAAATTAAACAACGATCACAACGAATCCGCTTGTAACGAACCGATGGATATGATGATTTGCTTGCCCTGACCATTTTCTGTAAATAAACAAACTACTGACTTATCAAAAAGTAGAGACCTCTTTAGGTTCGAAGTAAGCGTAATCTAATGTACATCATAAACACAATTGTGTCTTGCTGTCTGTGTTAGCTGTACATGAAGAAGTCCACAATGAAGCCTTCAGAGAAAGATTAGACTTTTATATAACACTCATATGTAATTGTGTGTATGTGTCTTTGTCTAGGTGTATGTGTGCCTGTGTTAGCTGTACATGCAGAAGTCCTAAATAAAGCCTTCAGAGAATGATTACACTTTTAATGTTCAACAGGCATTACTGATGTGGTGATGAAGGACCTAACAACAGCTGTGTCCTTCAGCGATGACAGGGTGGTTCGAATCTGGGATTTGACGAGGGAGGCAAAGTCTCACAGTGACGATCAAGAAAACGAGGAAGACTCAGAGTGCCTTGAGAGCAATGATGAAACCGATGCTGTGAAAGAGCACTCCGAAACCAAGAAGGACGGAAAGAAACAAAACCCCATTAAAATCATGTATGTTCATTTTACTTAGCTCTCGGACATGAAATTAGACACACAGCAAATAACACTCTGTGGACAAGCATTACTAATCACAGAAAAACATCTGACTTTACGTTGTTTAACCTGAAACCACATTAAATAGGACCTAGTATCGACCAGTGAATCAAGCTGTCAAATGTTCCCTCACTCATTTTTGTTGAAGGAAATGAATGACCAACGTGTGTTTAGATTAGGGGTTCGATATTACCTCCATTGTAATCCTGAATGTGTCCACGAAACACAATAGTCACTGTATTAAGTCCTAGTCATTGCTCTCTGACTCGTAGACTGAGCGTCGACCATTCTCAGATTAAAACTCACATGTGTCATCTCACATTGTCTACTCCTTACCGAAACATGATTTTTAAAGTAAATGATAAACCTTGGCTTTGGTCAATTGCATCAGTCAATAAGCTAACAAGTTCCCCACTTTGGTTGTGTTTCTAAAGGAAGCTGATGACTCTGGCAAACCCACGATATGTGTTGTTGAAAGCCAGTGGATCCAGGAAGAAATACCTTCAGGTTTACGATCTCCCACTGAAGAAGGTAGTCCGGCATATCAAAGTGGTGAGTACAACAAAAAACATTGAATTTAATTATTTTTCTAACTTTTCCTTATTCCTTAGAATATCCTTTGTTGTTGTATCACGTTTCAATAATAGATTTGGAGGTTGTCTTCGAAAGTCAGTGTCTGAACAGAACTTTTGATTGAATGTCTTTCAGGACTTGTCGCTGTCAACAGTTATCCCCCTTGACGACAGCATGCAAGTCCTAGTACGAGTTAAAAGAAAATTGAAGGTTATAGACCTATCATCTGGAACGATCCTAAGGACGTTTGAAGGGAAACTGTCAGAAAATAGTTCAGACTTCATTCTAGTTGCTGACCAGAAAGGTTTGTTGGAAAAGTTCATAAAATAATTGAACTATAATATAAAAATAATTTAAGCCCAGTCGCGTATGTTACTTGTTGTGCTGTTACTTTCATTCTTCGATAGGGATACATTGCGGTTTGAAAGTGAGTGATTATGCTGCTGATAAACCTAGAGACGATACTTTGGACCAACGATCATAGGTTTCTGGAACATCAAAGGGCCGCAACTCTGACGATAGGTCTGATCATGTATCCTGCAATTGTAATGAGAAGTAACTATCATTAATTTATTTGCAAAATTCAAAAGTCATCCGGGTAACACAGTATCTTTCATAATTATCGAGTTTCTGTTACAAAAATTTTTCATCACAATTTCTTCTGAGTAGTTCACGGATTGATTTCCACTCTTCGAACCTCTTTGAGTGAGTGAGTGTGATTTTACGCCGCTTTCATCCCTATTCCAGCAATGGTGGACGACACCAGAAATGGGCTTCACACATTGTACCCATGTGGGGAATCGAACCCAGGACTTCAGCGTGACGAACGAACGCTTTAACCACTAGGCTACCTCACTGCCCTGAACCCTTCTACTATACCATATAGAGTAGATCTCTCCCAATTCTGTTAGTATCACAAACTGTCATTCAATAGCTATTTCACACTTCAGAAGTGGCATGTCCAACAAGAGGACGCAAGGGAATCAAGTTATATGATCTTGCAACTGGAGAGACGTTGGCCATTATGGAGTCAAACAATACAAAGAGATTTGATGAAATAAAGGTAGGCTGAAGCTGGCCGTCTTTAAACGTATGACTTAATGACCAACATGTTCTGTGATATTAGAGCTGCATGGTGATCTGTAACGTAATCGCTGCATTTTCAATGAAAGACATTTCAAAATAACCATTCTATTGAATCAGAGTTATTTAGGTTGTAATACGTATACCAGATCAGACAAGGACATAGAAAATCGGTGAGATGTCCTTCCAACACGTATTGCTTTACAATGAATAGCAGTATCCTAGTGTTGGATGAAGTGATCCTAATGTCAAATGTACACCAATTTGACAAAGATGGGAATCATTTTGTCATTAGTGCATAACATTCTACGAATCTAACCATTTTCGACCATTAACCAGTAGAATGCATTTATATTGAATCTCAATCAAGAAGCGGTGATAACACGTGCTTGGGAAAAGATGAGGTTATACTGCCGTACCAGTGGCACCATCATAAACACGTGCAAAGGCAAGTCAATTGTTAAAAGAACTCGACAACACACAGTACAAATCAAAATAAGGATTTCATTGGACACCTGTCTGCTTCGCATCTTCTAAATCTACCTGTATGAATATACCTGCAGGCTGGTGAGAAAGGCACTGTCCTGTTGGCGGCTACAGATGATGGCCCTTGCTACGTGTTCGACGTTCTCAAACGGACATGTTTGTATGAGATCAGTCCACAGCAAATGAACAGCGATTACATCTACATTAACGATGCTGCAGTCACCGATGACGACGCCTATTTGGTATGGCAGTCGAACACACATCCCCAACAGGAACCTGAAGGTCGGAAAGACTATATAGCCCTGTGCTGGGACTTACATAACAGTAAGTATCAATTCAGATTTGAATATATAGAAAGGCAGATTTGAAACAGTGATACAAGAGGAAAATATGTTCATTTTATGATGCCTGGTACCAAAACTTGACAACACCTAATGTGCTGAGCTCACCTTAAACAGATGAACTCGTAATACAAAGCTGACTCATTTAGATAACCAAGAACTAATCACTGTATAACCTGTATAACCTGAAAGCTCCAGCTGACTGTACGAGGAAGGAAGATATACATGTATGTTTTCTTCACATGGTGGACTTTATCAGTACAAAGTTATGCCATTTGGGTTAAGAAATGCATTTCAAGTACTTGTCAAAGTAACATAATCAGCAATCCAGAAGATTGGGTCGATTATCTGAAGAGGTTCCGATCCTTTCTTGACAGATCTTTCAGAGGCTATCACATATTATGGGTCAGTTATTTGAAGAGTTTCCAATCCTTTCTTGGCAGACATTTCAGAGGCTATGAAATATTTTTGGTCGACTATTTGAAGAGCTTCTGATCCTCTCTTGACAGAAATTTCAGAGGCTATCACACATGATGGGTCGATTATTTGAAGAGATTCCGATCATTTCTTGACAGATTTTTCAGAGGCTATCAAATAATATCACAGTTCATCTTGCCAAAAAAAGAGAATTTGTCGAGTCGCATATTGTGTTCTCCCGTCATGTAGTCGGTCAAGGTCACAGCATGTAGTCGGTCAAGGTCACCGCATGTAGTCGGTCTTGGTAAGGTACAACTCGTCAGAGCAGCGTGAAGACTTCTTGTTAAATTTGTGTGTACACGCTTCACAGTTATACTTGCACAGTTATACTTGCAAAGTAAGGGAACTTTTTTAATTGGATATCGGAGTCAGTCAATGTTCCTTATGACAATAGTTGTTTGTACAGTAATCGCTCTTGAAAGATGATTGGTGTATGACGTGAAATTTGCATGTATACAATTTCCATTTTCAAACAAACAAAAAACAGACTAGAAACAAATACTAACAGCTGTGTGATACAAGTTGTTTGTGAACATTAATGGCCTACAGTGATTTATCGACACCCCATGCACGTGTATGGGATACTGCGTTGTGCACGTGCATCTCATGCAGGTGTATTCATAAGATGTCTGTCTTTGAAAAGTTTGTTTTCCTATCCAAATTGAAAGTTCATGTTCCCCCACTTTTAAAGAGCATATTTTGCCCTTTAGGGAACATGAAATCTGTTCCTGATGACAGCCAATGTTGGGTATTATTTCTTACTGAACTGAATCTGAAAATATGTATGCAAATATTTTCGAGGACTTTTTTTCAGACAACCTCCACAAGGAATTCTTTGATTATGAATACTATCATAAATATGAAAAGGATGATGGCAACGAGGATCTCGGGGTAGATGTTTTAACACTGCTAAACAACAGGACCCTGGTCTGTAACCATAACGATGCGTTCATTAGAGTGTACGATCTGAATACAGGTAGGTCAGCCTGGAGTACACATCCATCTGAACACGGTAACACAATATCATACGCATGATGATACACTTATTCACAAGGATGTTTCGGTCAACAGAGGTGTTCAGGATATAACCTAATAGAAGCTTGTGTACTTACAATGGGGTTGGATATTAGCCTTATGTTAATCTGATACAGTGGTAATACTTTCTTCTGCAAATTATATCTAATCCATTGTACACGTGTACATGTGTAAATATGCGTTATGGCTACAATATTGGAGACCAACCCAAAGTAATGTACTCATGCCAATAATGGTTGTCCCCCCCTCCCCCCTCCTCCAGCAAAAAGTAAAACATTGTCCAAGAGATGGTACAAACTGTTCCAAAGTGTTTCACATGCGTGTTTCACATACAACTTGTCAACCCAATAGCATGTAAGGCACGTGCTTCTTATACAACACTACCTGTGCGTGCTTCAATACACACCAAGTGCACTGAAAATGAAATATGCTTTTGTCAGACCATAAATTCCCCGCCTGAGTGTCTTGGTGTTAAAACTGTATGTCCCTGCAATGCCGAAGCCAACGTCCACTGACGTACGGAACCAAATAATTGGAATGAGTCGAGCAGGGGCTACAAATCGCAAGATCAGTCTGCAACTTAACGTAAGCAAAAGAACTGTTCAGAGAATTAAAAAAACTCTATCGAACACAACAGTCAATAACTGCAAAGAAATCTACAGATCGCCCTCGGAAAACCTTGCAACGTGATAACCGTGTACTCTTCCGTTTGGTACATCGCAACCGCCTTTTGTCTTCAACGTCACTGAGGGACAGATGGGGTCACCTTATTAACGTCCGACTTAGCCGTCAAACCGTGAACAACAGACTGCTTGAAAGAGGCTACAGAGCTAGAAGACTCTCTGCGTCGACAATTCCTGACTCCAGAACACAAGCGGTTACGTTTTCTATGGGCCAGGCAGCACAGAAACATCAGACTGCAACATTGACGTCACGTCATCTTTACGGACGAGTCGCGTTTCTTGCTAAACAGGATCGATGGGCGGGTGCGAGTACGTCCAGTAAAAAGAGAAAGGTTCAGGGATGACTGTGTTGAGGGTTTCATTCAGGATGGAGGTGGATCTGTTCTTGTGTTGGGAGGCATTGACTATAATGGTAAAACTGAGTTACTGGTTCTACAGGAGAACGTCAATCAGCGGACCTATCGACATGTCCTTGACCACACTTGCCTGCCGCATGCTCGCTGTGTTTATGGCAATAACTGTTTGCTGCAAGACGATAATGCTCGTCCTCATCGTGCTCGAGCAGTTGATGATTTCCTGGCGAGGGAAGGTGTGAACAGGCTACTCTGGTCTGCCAAAAGCCAAGACATGAATCCCATCCAGCACATGTGGGACCACATGGACCGTCAAATAAGGAAACTGGATCCTCCTCCATCAAATATAGACTATTTGGAGACATCATTGGTGAGAATTTTTTAACGAGGTGGCCTTACAAGGTGTCAACAAACTCATTAACAGCATGCCAACCCGGATTATCGCCCTTATTGACGCGCAAGGGGGAGCAACACGTTACTGACATTGCACAAATGTTTTTGAATGATCAGACTCTCTTTCTATCATTATCTTGACAGTACACGTTTCATTTTGTGAAACCCACATTACCCCAAACTGTTGACATTACGTCTTCTCAATGTGCAACTTTACACGAATTCTTTATTTAAAGTGATTGATTTCCTAGAAGAGGCACATGATTGGCCAGTGTTGCCTGGCCGTGTATTTATGATTATGAGAAGTTTATGCGAGTATTAAATCTTTGCTTTCTATCATCTCTTCTGTTTCTCTTTGTACATTTTCCAGTCCTATTAATAAAATCGAAGGGGTGACAACCATTATTGGCATGAGTATATGTACAGAAATCTAACAGAGAGAGAAAGAGAGAGTGAGAGAGAGTGAGAGAGAGAGATCTACGGATGAATGGGTGGATAGATGGATGGATGGTGTACTTGAAAGACTGTCATCCTTGTACATTTGCCTTGTTTCCTTTTTTCAACTTCCCAGGAGAGATGAAAAAGAGAATTGAAGGACATCCCAGTGCTGAGCTTTCATTTGTCAAGGCTGGACCTTACTTGATGTCACATGGAACCTACAGTGAAGACAATGTGATCAAGATGATTGACAGGACAACATTTGAGACCATAGCCACCTTTTCACCGGATTATGACGTAAGTTTATGTACATATACAGTGTTGATAAACTTCAATCAGCCAGTAGAAGAGTACATAAAACATATCAAGTGTTATTCTTTTCTTATTCAGTATCTACCAAATGTCCAGGTATTGAAGAAACCTAATAAACATCAGTATAATAAAAAATCTGTTGAACAGACTTCTATCGTTTCCTTTAAGCTTTTCACTTTACTGGTTTAATTTAGCCACCCTTCGGGGTTCTTCCATTACCTCTGGGCCCAATGATGTATTTAAGGAAATAATTTATAGTATAAATGTGACCTTTTGTCATTCCTTACAGACACGAGATTTATCGCTCACCAAAGATGGCTACCATGTGGTATGTTACTTCCGAGAGTTCAGGAAGCCAGTGGTGTGGAGTCTGGCAGGAGGATCTGCAGATGACCCAAACAGGGAAGCATTCAAGCCTTTGTCCAGTTTCCCTGACATCTATGGACCTGACAGTAAGTGTTCAATGACATATTTAATCAACCATTTGTCGTAAACTATCAACATTCACAGTGAACATATCACTCAGATTGAAACTGGTGAGTGAAGATGGTTTTGCTGCATTTTTAGCAACATTCCTGTAATAAACTCTGTCAAAAAAGAAACGCAACCCCTGTCCTCAGATATGAAAAAAATCGTTTGAATGAAGTTATTGCTTCCAAACTAAATTTTATTCGAATGTATTGAAATGATACACGTAATTAATGAAGATTACCATCCAAACAACTGCATTTGTACGCATAAGTGTATTTTATTGCTTATTCCGTCACAACGCATGAAATGACCCTCATGGTGACTTCGCACAAAACACATGCAAATCATGAAAATGGCAGTTAATGTAGGTGTATAAAAGCCCATGTGCTTCCGTATTATATTCATTCATTTGTCGCCGAAAAGCTGTGTTAAAAAATGCCACGATTGAGTGCTGCCGACCGAAATATCGCCATTGGTCGTGTTCAAGCCGGAGAAAGTTTGGAACTGTTGCACGGCACCTAAATGTTCACAAAACAACGATATCCCGACTTTGGAGCCGCTACAACAACTTCAATTTGACCAACGATCGCCCGAGAAGTGGAAGGCCAAGAATCACGACCCCCGTCAAGATCGGTACATCCGGGTCCATCACCTGCGTAATCGGCATGCCCCTACCAACCGTGACTGCCACACAAATACCAGGTTTGAGGAGAGTGTCAGCTCAAACGATTAGGAACCGTCTGAAAGAAGCGGGTTTACGTGCCTGTAGACCAGTTGTTGGACCTGTACTACGCCCCCTACATCGACGCCGACGACTCAGGTGGTGCAACAACGTAAGGATACGGACTTTACAAAACTGGAGGCGAATCTGGTTTTCTGATGAATCACGTTTTCTTTTGCAACGTCACGACGGAAGACAGCGTCTGTATAGGAGACGTCATAAACGTTTTGCGCCCATCTGCATCCGACAGGTGGACAGATTTGGCGGAGAAAGCGTCATGGTTTGGGGAACCATCTCATACAACCAGAAATCAGACTTGGTGATCGTTCCAGGGAACCTGACAGCCCAACGTTACATCAACCACGTGTTAGAGCTTCACCTTCTCCCGATTATTGACCAACAGACACAGATTTTTCAACGGGACAACGCCCGGCCTCATACTGCACGTGCAACAATGAACTTTCTGCAGAATTCCAACGTCAATGTCTTGCCATGACCCTCTAAATCACCAGACCTCAACCCTATTGAACACCTGTGGGATACTCTGGATCGACGCGTACGTCAACGTCAGCCGCCGCCACAGACGCTGCAACAGCTCGCCGTTGCACTGCAGGAGGAGTGGAGAGCCATTCCCCAGGAAAGAATCCGGCGTCTTATCCGTTCTTGTCCAAGGAGATGCCGTGCAGTGATTGCAGCGCGTGGTGCTCATACGAGATACTGAGAAAGACGCCCCTGGTGACAAACTGGTGTCTGTGAGATGACTTTTGAAATGACAATTTTAAACATGCCCATCTGGGTTATTATTCTGCCAAATTTCAGACTTCTGTCTTAAATAATAAAAATGCCGTGTCGTCCTAAAACTTCCAGATCAAAAATCTCTAAAATACAGGGGTTGCGTTTCTTTTTTGACAGAGTTTATGTGTTGGTGTGGTATTGTACATAGAGCTCAGGACCCGGTTGTATCAACACGTAATTATGTAATCATCAATTAAACACTAATCACTGATTAAATACTTAATGTTTGATTAGTTAATGAAGTGTTTAAATACGGTTGTATAAACCCTTATTTAAACACCCATTAACTAAGTATGCCTCTAATAAAGGTCCGTCATTAAACCATGATTAACTTAGGGGAATCCCCTAATTATTATCCATGATGCATTGCATGTAAACACTCATCGATCGTCTGCATCATGGCTGCCTTCAGAAATCGCAGCAAAAACTTTGAAAGTTGTGAAATACAACTTCTAACAGATCTAGTTGAAGATCATATCGGTGTGCTAAACAGCAAACTTACCAACTCCATAATTAATGACAAAGAAGCAGATATGGGACAAAATAACGGCCGAGATCAATAGCCTTGGGGTAAGCAATGGGACGTCCAAAGAAATCAAGACAAAATGGAATAATATTTTTTTCAAAATGCAAAAAGAGTTTTCAAGGTAGAAAAAATTCAAACGAAAAAACAGGTGGCGGTCCATGTCCCAAGCCTGTTTTCTCTTCCATCGAGAAAATCATGGATATTTATTCGGATTCCGCATGTTTCAACGGTGTGGCCGGAGTGGGCTATTTTGTCAATTTAAAGCATGTAAACGTGGGTAATACATAAAAATACCACACTCGGTCTGATAACATACGAATTATACGAAGCTTGTGACCTTCCTATGGTTTCTGACCTCGCTTTCGCTCGGTCAGATACCATAGGAAGGACACTCGTTTCGTATAATTCGTATGTAATGAACTCTCGTGTAGTATTCTCTATGTATGTCGATGCAAGTATTAAAACAAAATAGCAAGTAGACGAAGAAATAGGCTAGCTTGCGACTTCAAAATATAATGTCGAAATTGCGGACAGTTTCATTTCATATTCTTACCTTCTGTACAATGCAGTTGAACTTTATTCAATCACATTTCACCCGCTGTACGCATAACGTGCGTCCTCTTTCAACGAATATCCAAATCAATGTGAAGCCGTTCACTCTTTTCTCACAAGAGTGAAGTCCCCTATTACTATTTTTGTACATGGAACCCATCCCGTTACACTTTGCATACGCTTCCTATTATGTTTCTCTACAATGCAAATATTTAGAAGCGACAATATTAAAAGGTTGTGCAAAAATATAGCAAAGTTAGTAACAGACAGAAGCATTTGACGCTGCTGTTATTATTAATTATGCTTTAAAATTTAGAATATTTCAGGGAATTATCATCGAAAACTCGTAATGTAATTACATCAAATAAAAAGCGCTTGAGGAAATACAGGCCTGTGTCAACAGTATTAATAATGTGACTTATACGGTATGTTAATTTTGTGTAGCATAAATATTTTCCATGAATTTCATTTCTCATTTGGGTCCTAATTAAAGTGAGCACAGTAATCATCTCAGCTACACCCACATAATTTCGACAGAATTTTCCGATTCCACCAGAATTAATTAAATTAAAATTGTGTTTTCTACACTAAATTCACATGTAAGTCTATTGAAATTAAGTTAAGTGGCAAATTTTTTTGGCTCGGGTCCGTATTTGCATTTGTAATTTTTATTTTATTTTCAGTGACTTTGTGGAAGGGTGGCATATTTTATATCTAATTTAAAAAACCAAAACCAAAAATCCTATCTATTTGCAGAAGCTCAAAGTGTAGAGATCCATGCCATGTTGATACAGCTAATGACGAGTTAATGATACCCCCAAACCTTCATTAGCTTAATGATGGATTAATGAAGGGATTCCTTTATTGAGGGTTTCATGCAACTGAAGATAATCAATGATTAACTAATCATAGTTTAATTAACGATTAAAGCTTTATTAAAGTTTGATACAACCGGGTCCAGGTCACAACTAAATTGAGGCTAAGCAACGTTGGTCACGAAAGATTCCTTGGATGGGTGACCGTGTTTGGCAGCTAGACTCCTGACTGTTTCTAGGACTTCTTCCTGCCCCAAAGGGAAGCACATGTGATACATGTGGTCTCACTATAGGCAAGTGAGTGTCTGCACATTTGCCTAACCCAGCAGAACATGGGTACCCAGTGGGATAAGTTATGTGACTAATAACCTTCTAGTGTAGCTTGGGTTATCCGGGTCAGTAACCGTATTTGCTCTTCGAGCATGCCCTGGCGCGGGGGTCAGAGCTATATAAGTGGCCTTATCACGGCAAGAGCAACACAAACGAACACGAGAATACCATTATACTTCACTCTGACTTCAAAAAGTGGGATTGTACTATATGATACTTGTCTAAACCAGAAATTATAGGCCAGAATCTGAGAGTATATGAGACTGTGTGCGTGCGTGCGTGACTGAGTGCGTGTGGGTGTTTTCAAAATGCGTTCAAAGTGTCATTTATATCTTCTGTATAACTATATGATTACATATTTGCAGCGGTTCAACTAAAACTACAACTGGCAATGAACACGGATGAAGCTGATGATCCGGATGACCTTGATAAAGAGACATCGATGAGGTGGACAGTGACACCAGTGATGATGATGATGAGTCTCAAAACAAGAAGGATCTCGACGCGATTTCTTCACTTTCCGGTTTGTCAGATTTGGACCTGAAATCAGGTTTGTCAGATTTGGACCTGAACTACGATTTCTCAGATTTGGACTTGGATGATCTGGGGATGAAACAGAAAAGTCAGAGAGAAAGGCGCCCGCCTGAATAGCTGATTCAAACTTCGGGAAAACCCTCCTAATTCTTAACAGTAAAAATGACAATGCTTAAATATAAACTACAACGTTCATGTGTTATATATTGAGCGTGTGTCACTTGAGGGAGGGGGTGGGAGAGTTGGTGGAGACTTCATAACTTGTTCTCAGTACATGAAGAGAGTACTGATCGGGTTTAATGAGAACAGTCGTTTTAATGTCTGACCTAAGAGGATGTGGAAACCCTCTGTTGAACCTGTCGTATATAGACAAGGTGGAAGTAACTGCCAACGGACATCAGATATAAGTGATATCTTTCAGTCATTCAGTTTGTGTTCCGTCTGTTCTGTGTTTCATTTTATCAATTTTATTAATAGTTTAGCTGTTTGAGTTGGTACTTTTATGTACTTAAACAAGTAATAACTTAATGTAAACCTGCATTTGACCATGTCATACGCCTCGGTATTGTATATATATTAATAATCATGTCCGTGACTTAATAGTTTGTATACTTCTGCCTGAGACCAAAAACAATATTTCCCGATATTACTGACATTTAATATTTGAAATTGTTTGTTTTCAATTCCATATTCATCATATTGCTCAACAAAGAAGACTGTGATACACGTTACATAGCTTTAACAATGAATAAAATATTTTAATATAGCCCCTGTTACATTTACATAAAATTATATTTGAAGACGTCAAACTGCCGATATATCCATAGCAAGATCCAAAAGGACCCCACCGAACACCCTTGATCAAGCCCACGTTGATACTGAAATGATCGAGTATTGTTTATATACACCGAAGTCATCAATAGTCCAATTATATCACAGGTTCACTGAACAATTGTGTCTGGAACAGTAGCCATGGACAGCATTCCATGTGTTTTGGTTTGGCAAGGATAATGCCCTAAACAGGGGTGTTTATCCTGACGTTTTTTCGTGAACACCAGGTGTCAGCACTAAGCCAGAGATTTCCACTGCTAATGTAGATTCTAGGGCCGAATGGAACCTGTTTCTGTGTTTAATAAAGGCTTGTTCGTTTCTGGTCTTGACCTTTGTCTTTACCTTGCATGGGAAATGGTGAAGATCCGGGTTAGAATTGATTTTAAGGAACCCATGCTTGTCGTAAGAGGCGACTAATGGGATCGGGTGGTCAGGCTCGCTGACTTGCTTGACACATGTCATCGTATCCCAATTGCGTAGATCGATGTTCATGCTGTTGATGACTGGATTGTATGGTGCAGACTCGATTATTTACAGACCGCAGCCATATAGTTGGAATACTGCTGAGTGCGGCGTAAAACAAAAAAACCTTGCATGGAATAGATTGTTATTAAAGTTCAGGGTTGTGTTACCGGTAGCGTGTGCCACTGCGACCACAGGTACAGATAAGCTGCGTATCTTCGTAAATTACGCAAATATTTATGTGAAAACTCAATTCCTATTAAGTTTGTTGCGTACAAGTACGCTTGACGTTTTGTTAATACCCACTAAATTTGATCTTACATGCGTACAAAACAAAAAGATAAAATAACTGAGGTATATTGAGAGATTCAATTTCAGCACCTGAACTTGGCAACTTGCAGTCTTTCTTATCGTTTCTCATATAACAGATCAAATATAAATAGCAAACACATAAACCAACATTTAAACTTTATTATACATATTTGTACAATTAATGGAAAATGGCAAAATACCCAAATGAGTTTTGAGTGAGGTGGGTACAATATATTTGGTTACGCAAAGGAATATTCGGATCCCCAATTGAGATGAACACAAGCGAGTACATAACTCAATGACTCAAAAAGTTATCTGTAGCTCAGCTGCGAGTTCCGGTATTGGCATGTGACACGTGTGGCTTATGACACTTGAGCATGGGAGGGGATGGGTGGTATATAAATAGTATTGGGACTACAGCAACATACGATATCCAATGGTTTAACGTGTATCATAAATCCTGCGTTATATCGAACGTGACCGGGACAGTATACCCGACATACACCTCAACACAGCACTTGAATACAATCGACGAAGGTTTGTACTCTTGGACGAGACGGTGGTGGTGGTGATATAGTTTAGGGCGACTTGGACCAGAAGTAAGGTCTATTTGCTCCCAACACATTAACTGAAGTTGAACTATCATAAACATAATTAGGCCTACTGCAAATGTTTATATTTACCATTTACAAAATTGTATTCGAAGAAGACGAGCAGAGGTGAATTGCCTCCCTTGAGCAAGAAGTAACAGTTGATAAAGAGAACACGGTCTCTGATGGAGAGGGAAATAGTGACGACCTTAATCAACAGTAGTATACACAACAACAGGGTACAAGATCACTTCCATTAATAGACTCTGTAAAGCTTTACAGAGTCTTTTGATGGAAGTGATCTCATACTGTTGTATATACTACTATCAACACACACAAATATTCCACAACTAGGAACATTGACACAATACAAATACGAAGATCCGTCCAAACGTACAGTTCAATTTGGGCTTTGACATAATGCTCTAATAAGTATCGCGTTAAACATTATCCAAGTCGTGAAAGGTAGGCTCGTGGCACCCCAGATATCCGCTTACAAATGTCAGCATACAGGCGTGATTGTCGGCCCGGCTTTCTGTTGTCATAGCAGCGCGTAAACAAAGACGTAAACATGGCGTGCCATCATTACAAACGCTTGTGAATCTGTGAGTAGGTGAGTGAGTTAATTTTACGCCGCTTTTGCAATATCCCAGCGATATCGGCGGGCAGGTGGGTTTCACACAGTGTACTCATGTCTTGTTGATTGAGTTTGATAGAAACCTTTTTGTAATTGAAACTTTGGAAAAGGTAAGCGTGTCATGCCGTATGGATGGCGTCTATGTAACATGCATGCAAAATATATACCACGTCAAATTTTAACCCCAACAAACACGAGAATGATCTGGCACGCATTAAAATAGAGACACTAGATTGTAAATGATCCCTGTGTTACCCCGAATTGTTTTTTCGGCAACCAAGTTAAAGTATATATTACTAATGTACTCCATACGAAGTACGTGAAACATATTTTTGTAAGACATTTCATTGATTTATTGATAACATTTTGTTCTTTTACACGACAGATATATGGATAACAACATCTTTATTTGTTTCACACGATGTTTCTGATTTATCCACCCAAAGGAGGGGCAAGAACTAGCCCAGAAACGTCGTCTGAAACAAATAAAGAAGTTGTTATCCATATATCTGTCTTGTATTACTACACCAACTTCTAAATGCCTTTGAAGAATTACATTTTGTTTTGACTGTATAGCTGTATTTTAAATCTGATGGACGAATGGTAACAGGCCACTTATTCAGACAATAATGACTGAAGAAAATGTGCGATATACGTGTGCGTTTTCTCCTTGACATTGTCAGCTGAACGGTACCTCTAAGCAAGGTGGATGCTGTCACCCTCAAAGTTGCAGATGCGGATATCCGTCCATCAGATGTTGTGAGGAATCTTGGCGTTCACATTGATTCTTCTTTGACGTTCAATGCCCATGTTAACCAAGTGAGCAAAACATGCTTCTTCCATCTCAGGTCGATCAGCAACATTCGCCAGTACTTGACTTCTGCAGCAACTCAAGCCCTTGTTCGAGCTCTAGTAACATCCAGGCTCGACTATTGTAACAGTGTTCTTTCTGGCATCAACTCCAATCTGATTGATAAACTGCAGAGGATTCAAAACACCTCTGCCCGCATTATCAGTAGAACTTCTAAACGTGTCCACATCACTCCTGTCCTTAAAGAACTCCACTGGCTTCCAGTCAAGGCAAGAATCGATTTCAAAATTCTCTCCTGACGTACAAATGTCTCCATGGCTTGGCCCCTTCCTACCTCTCTCTTGACCTGCTTCCACCATATGTACCTGCCCGCAGTCTCCGTTCCAACTCTCGTGAATCTTCTTGTGATACCCTCCTACAAACTGAAATCTTTCGGACACCGCAGCTTCTCCTACAGCACCGGCCCTCTGGAATGTTCTTCCATATGACATCAAAGACTCTGACAGTTTTGATAGTTTTAAAGCAAAACTGAAAACCCACCTTTTCTCAGTATGCTTCTCATAACTTCACCCATCTTCATCTTTGTAGCGCTTTGAGCATACCCAAGGGCGTGGAAAAGGCGCATTATAAATGTGCATTATTATTATTATTATGTTTTACAGATTAAAGATTGTATGCAGCAGAGAGGGTTCGGGTGATCCTGGCACAGTCAGGCTGGTAAGGCTCATCATCAGCTCAGGGCCCTTGCCCCCCTACACGCAGCCCAGACAGCGAATGGGACTTCTCCCAGGAAACGCTGCCTAGTCGAACCCACCAAGAACCTTCCGGAGAATATGAAGGCTCCCAACAACACTGCAGCCTTCTGCATTACCCAGAGTGTCAGGAAGGGCTGTACTCCCGGTGGAGAACCTAGGGCACTCTCCTGATCTGTGCCAAGAGATCAGGAGGTACCAAACCAAGGGCACCGAGAACAATGGGGAGCCTGACGACAGTGTACTTGGGATGCAAGCGAGACATTTCAAAGGCGAGGTCCGCATATTTATCATGCTTTTCCTTAATCTTGCCAATCACATTGGTGTCAAAGGGACAGAAAATTCTATGATATAAATAAATTCATTGGCTTTTATCAAAAAGGACAAGATCAGGGTTTGTTAGCTGGAATTCTTCTGGAGGCTGTATATGGGCCTATTCCACAGAAGTTTGAAAGCATCATTTTCCATGACGCCCTGGACATGTTCAGGGTCGTACCATGGATGGACCTCGAGTCAAAGCCACAGGCATGTCGGAGACGGTAGTAAAGCAACGAGCCATGCCATCATGTCGTTTAAGATATGCTGTTTGTGCCAAGGAAGGGCATCCACTGACAA